AATTTATAATCCCCGAGTTTTAGTATAAATACTCGGTGGAATATCTTATCAATAAACACAACTTTTTAGTCGAGGCTGAAGAATTCACCAGATAGCACTTCTGCGGAAGTTTGATTTTGTTTTAGTTATTTTCGAGTACCCGAGGGTATTATTTCTATTATATTTATATTTTATTACTATTTACATTGCCCAACATCGTAACAATACAAGATGCCTTATTAGCTCAGTTGGTTTAGAGCGTCGTGCTAATAACGCGAAGGTCACAGGTTCGATCCCTGTATGAGGCAAACTTTTTTTGATTTTTTTTAGACACCACAGTGCCGGGCTTACATATTTTTATTTTTCTAGAAGTTTGCGGGGGAACGGTTGTTGCTCTTAGGTAAATTAGTTTTCGACTGACTGTGTATAGAAGAAGTTCAACGAGGCTTTATAACGAAAAAAACCTGGTAGAATTAGGCAACTGTCCCTGGTTTAGAATGAATCACCACCCCACATTATACCATACATAAACCAGGCTGGATGTCACCCCTATTTACTATTTCCGCGATTTAGAAGAGGCAGTTCAGTAAAATACGCTGGTCATTAGATTAGAACGTTGGCCAACTAAGTTTTGCAAACTATTATATGAGCCTATGGTAGTTCATTAACAAAGCACTATTGTCTTGCGATTGCTATTGTCCTCTCGACTATCTTCCAATTGACAAGTATACCTGATTTGGCTTACGGCATCGGAATTTCAAAACTATCTCTCTGACATGATGATAATCATTTTGTTATAATGTACCTTTTATACTTCTTCTTTGACGGACGCATCTATAATTCATGCCTACACAATACCATCTGGCGTAACTTTATTTTTAGACCAAATGGGGCCGTTGGGGCTCCTAGCTTAGGATATGAACTATTGCCCATCGACTTTAGGTACTGGCACCTAATTACGTTTATTGCAAGAAAAGTGATAAATTGGCACTACATGCTCACGGTGAGCTAACTTACCGCTGCCTTTAAAACAGGACATTGCCAGCCTGGGTATTTGCACTATTAGTAGACGTGCCTGGAACCAACAAAGGTATTGCACAATAACTCAGCCACGCTCCGAGTATAAGAAGTGAATATACTTGGCATTCTCTTGTTAAGAGTCGCATGTGTATGACGGTGTTGGTCTAAATTCGGATAATTAGTGGGATTAGAGACATGACCGTTTCCGATTGTCTAGTATGTTGCCTGCAGTAGCCAGCACCCGGGACAAAAATCAATGCATGCCAAAGTTTTAGGCATTACGGGAACTCGTAAGGAACGAGCAGTAGTAAACCCACTTGAACAAGATTCTAGCCCCCATTAGTATTCTAACTGACCAGCCCTCCCTGGCTATCGCTTTCCGACGACAGTGGCGATTTTAGTATGGGTATACTCAGCGGAACTTTGTATAATCCAAAAAGAAATTGCCAGGTATAATGCCTAGTAACAAGAACAAATAGGATGGACTTGGTGTTTAAACAATGGGCCAGTCGTTTCCATGTTGGTAAGCCAATAGTTGTAATATCCGTTTCTTCTGCGGGACCTTCACCCTTGAGTGGAGCCCCTGGCTAACTAACAATAAAAGGTCGGAATGGAGATCATCAATAATATCACACTCCCCTTTCCCATGAAACCTATTGTCCGCCAACTACACTATATAGGGAATGACTAGACTACTTTTGCCTTATTCCGTGCTTACCAATATTCCCTGGGCCATACGGCTGTACGATCCCGTCTTAATGGGCTGGGTATTGTGCCTAGGGCTCTCTGTTTCGTAACCGGAACGGATCTGTAAATGGTATAAATGGGCAACCCTTCGCAGCCCCAGTTTACCAACTTATTGTTTTCATCCTGCACTGTTGCATTGTATTTAGTACGAGGTTTTCCAGCATCAAACACAATCAGAAAAGTCATTTTTCACTTTGGCCTTGCTTTATATTGCGTAATCCCCCTTTTTGAACCAATCCCAGGAACCTCCGATATACGTAACCCTCCTTCCCCTTCGCCCCTCCCCTTGCTTAATCATGTACTTGCGCGTCATTTCCCTCACCTCGGCCGCTCTCTGGGCCAGTTCAGTGCTGCTCATCAACACCCCTACGTATGCGGCCCCGGCTACCCCATCCGCCCAGCTGGCCCCCCGGGTATTCTCTGGTGACCAACCTCAGGTGACCGCCGCCGACGTTACCCGTGTCTACGGTGGCCAGGCAGCCACCAGCAATTACCCCTTCCTGGCCCGGTTGGTGTATAATGGTGCCAAAAGCACCCTTTGTTCCGGTAGTGTTTTGAGCAACGAATGGATTATGACCGCCGCGCACTGTGTAGTCGACTGTCCTGACTCGTTCGACTCCCTCAAACTGTGCAGCATTAACAAAGCCGGCCTTACCCATGTCACCATCGGCACGGCGGACCCTCGCACCGTGACAAATTACAACATCTCCCAAGTTGTTGCCCACCCTGACTACTATATGGAAGACGTGCCGGTGAACGACATCGCCCTCATTAAACTGGAAACGCCTCTCGTCTACTCGGCCAAGATTCAACCCATCAAGATCTACACGGGCACAATCAAGGACAACGACTCCTCGCGCGTCATTGGTTGGGGCAAGACTCAGGAGAATCAAAAGTCGGCCAACCCCGCGCCGTATGAGGTGGATCTAGCCTTGTCCAATGATCGCGAGGCCTGCGACCTCATCGATGGACTGGACTTTAAGGATTCCAACGGTCCCTACATTTGTTCGGCCAAGAACGACTTCAAGGGAACTTGCCAGGGTGACTCGGGCGGCCCACTTCTGGGACTGTACATGAGCAACTGGGTCCAATTGGGCATCACCAGCTTCGGCACCAACCCCGGCGACAAGATTTCCTGCGATAGCGGGGACAAAACCTCGTTCTTCACCCACGTTAGCCCACATCTGGACTTTTTGACCAAGACGACGGGCCTCAGCAAAAAGGACATTTCCGTGTAATAGGTGGATGCGTCCTACTTTGATAAAAAGTCCGATGCGCTCTCGTCACACGTCATGTTTAATCATGTTACTATCCTCTGTTTCGTACTATACGCCCACTCACAAGTCACTTCGGCATTTAACTTACCCATTGTCTCCACTGCTCCCTAGCTTTTTGATTACCGATTAGTCTTTTAGTATTTTTGTACATAACCTCCTTATTCCCTTCGAGTTAGGATTTCGGCATTTTTTTGTTAAGCGCTTCTCTGGGCCGATGGCCCATATTGCCTGTGTATCTTATATATAAAAATTCCACCCGCAAACTGATTACTATAAGACTGTAATATTTATTTGGCTAGCAAGTTATGTAAACGACTGATTAATATATATTCGTGTGCAGGTCATCATTAATTGCCCTAACATGCCTGAAAAACGGGTAGATACTGAATATTAGGACGGCAACCACGATAGTATTGGCCAAACCGTAAATGTAGAGCAATTGCAAGAGTTTACCATACACTGGCTAACCGGTCTGGGACAGTATGGGGGCGACTTTAGTCTGCGTAGTAGAAGGTGAACCGGCTAAGATATTGGGGAATATTTGACATCTCGGGGCCATATCGACTTGCGTTATAGTATAGCTCTAAAAGTGGGACGGCTACCAGCTTCAAGTTGGAGGGGACGAAGAGCTCCTCTAGTAGCGGTAATAATAAACGAATGTATTGTATATACGAAATCGACTCGTAAATAAGCGGTGACTATTATGCCGAAAAACAAATGAACGCCTTAAGGGGCAAATCGAAGATTAGGTGGGTCTGTCTGATCGTGGAACTTACGTTTATCGGGAAGATGTACTAAAAACATTTTCTTTTGCTCCTTCGGCCGCGATACGTGGGGGGCGAGATAAGGGTACTATCGAGAGGGAAGGAGGTTCAATATATACAGCAATACATAAATGTAGGCAGACAGAGTCAGCCTCTAAATCTTCGACCACCAAAGCCACGGGGTGGAGCGATCTCTTATACCACACATATACCCAGATACACTAAGAGTAAGGGGGGGGTATGCTTCGCAGGGTATCTAAACCAATACACCAGCTAGATATTAAGAACGACTTAAATGGCTCGCTGTTTTTTTTTATAAAAGCGGGGCTATTAGGAGTTTAGGTACTTACGCAGTAATTGGCAAAGTTGGGCCGCCACCAAATCGAAAGACACTCCCCGACGTTCCAGTTAATATTTTCTTCGGAGGTCTGTGTTTCTGGGTTTGATGGGCCTAGCCGCTCATTAAGGCAATTCTTCAGGCCCTCAATCTCGTCTTGGCCGGGCTTGAGGACGCCCCCGGGCAGTCGGAAACAGGATGCGTTGGTTTGGAACATCAATACGTGGGGATGGTGGTCCTCGTAGACCAGGAAGATGGCTTCAACTGACCGACGCATGCCATTTTCTTCATAGTAGCTCTTCAGCTTGCTGATACGCTCCGATGTGCTGTTTTCATAGATCTGTTGGGCCTCTTTCGAGTTTTGGGGGTAGTTAGCTGGTCGGATTTAAATGACATACGGAATCATACGGGCGAGGGTTAGCGGCGGAGCATTAAACTTATCAGTCGGCATAACAGATATTTACAGCATACCTGTGGGTAGCAGTATAGTAAAATTTGGTATTAAGGAACTTACAGCTTGGGTACCTGGGGTGTGTAATGGGACAGGGGGATCAGGTCACCGTAGCATGAGCGAAGGGTGAGGCAAATTAGATATAAAACAATAGGGAATAGGTAAGAGCGGGTCCAACAGGGAGGCATAACCTCATGAAGGCTTTGGGCGAAGCCCTGGGTAATATCGGACACGGAATGGTTTGGAAATGCAGCGACCGATGCGGTTTTACGACGGGGTTAAAGCCACCTACAAGTTAATGCTCGTCATGGGGAATGAATCCTCGGATGGTGGAGGTACTGAAAAGGCGGTAGAGAAGAAGAAAGTAACGGAATGGGCAAGGAGGACCGAAAAGCGAAAAGGGTATACTGAAATGGCAGTGGACAAAGGGATAGAGGGGATTAACATTATTTGTAGAGCCCCCCCCCTCTGATGAGCCGTATGCTTCAAGAAAAATGGACGGGGGTTGGTTGCCTTCCAAATCTTGCTTAGTGGCTAACAAAAAGGCGGGTGAACTTGCCCAGTCAATGCTGCATGACATAACCAGTGGGCTTTACAGTGAGTTTAAACTTACTACGCCCAAGCCAAGGTGTTCCTACCCTTCTATATATGCCTCAAAATCGTATAGCCATCTCCTTAATAAAACACCTACGCCCATGCCCTAGGCCAATTT